ATGCTGCCCAGGCTCTTCCCTCCTCATTGAGTACCCACAGGGACAGTCCAGCCTTTCACTGGTGCAGTTACCCTGTCAGACACCAACAGAGCAGTACCAACAGCATTCTGAAAGGCCCAGTTTTACTGTCCTGACATAAAGGCCTTCGAGCTATCAAAATTCTTCTTTAGCCCTGCCAGGAAAATAATTGAAAGCATATTTAGCTGTGTGGATGTAGAAACCTAGAGGAATTTCACTGGTCTTGTGGTTAGCTGGGAAAAGATGTGGAGAGGCATTTAAACCAAGCCATATATTCATGCTCCTGAAATTTGAGAGAATGCAGTTGACAACAGCCCTCAATTTAAAAACTGGATACGAGGTTCTTTAGGGTTGGTTTTTTGTGTGTGCATTTGTCTGCCTCAGTAATATTTTTGGAGAGAGAATTTTGGTCACTGTTTGGAATTTGTTCAGGGAAGGCAACTTAGACCTATTCAAAGTTGATGCACTCCTATCTTGACCACAACTAAATGCTTTTCTGGTAACTCTTCAGCTTAGCTGAGATTTTTTTCTCCCAAGCAGAATCTCTCTGAATGTTGCAGTTAATGCAAACTTTCCACTCAGAACAAAGTGTATAGGCTGGCTCTGCTGTTATCACCTGACAACATTATCATTGGGAATATTAAGCTGTCAACAGCAGATCTGAAGGAATCACTTTCCCAATCTGCAGTGAATTATAGAGGATGGGAGTCTATCACACATAAAAGTCTTCCCACTTTCTAAGTCTGTGTCTAATTCTAATAGTTTCAACCTGACCTCAGACTGGATTTTAGTCTTGTTTTAAATCATGATCCAGACACCTTCTAAGAGCTTAGCAAAAAAAACTGGGACAATTCAACACATTTGTGCATGCATTTGTTTTTTGGTTTTTGGTTTTTTTAAAGGTGTATTTAAATCTATATGTGCCAAGCCTACGTGGGTGTGTTTTGGCTGAAAAGCTCTTCCCTGCTCTGTTATATGTTTCCCCCTTTCTGGTTGCATTCCTGATTTATATGTTGTTTGCATGGCTTTATGCTAACACACACATCATCTGGGACTGAGTGTGGGTCAGTGTCAAGTGGGACAGGATTAGGATGTGGGAGGTTGAGAGCATTAATGCTTAGCAAGTAGGATTAGGATAAAGCTGTAATTGAACAGTTCAACTAACCTGGGATTCATCAAGAGATTTGCAAAAGCACATTATAGTGGTCAATGAAAAGGGGGTTTTAAACCATCAAGACAACATCGTTTCGCAGAGCTCCGATTGCAAAGAGTCAGGGTTAAGCAACTCTCTTGTCTTGCACGTACAAATATGAGATTCTTTACTGGTTTTGGGTATCACAGTCTGTGTTTCTGAATGCCTAGAGATGGTGGGACAACGAGAAATGAAAAGGTGTTTTGTCCAAGGAAGTTCAAAACATGGCAAAGATACAGCAGAGTTTAATGCAATCCCATTGGAGACACAGAACCTGCTGGAATTTGAAGGGGACTCGGAAGCGATAAAAAAAAGTGGAAAAGAAAAATTACAGGACCTCTAAAAAAAGTATTTTAATTGGATTAATGACTCCAGCGATTCACTCTTTGCAGACACAAAATTTCATGTGTTTTTGTAATCCTGCCAGTTTCTGGGTTAGGGAGGTAACAGTGGCTCAAGCAGGTACCTAAAATGTACACGTGGTACAAGGGTTTTGTGGTGGTCCTCTGTACAGGGATGATGAGTGATACCACACCTTAAAGATGGTCCTCCCAGGCTTGACAGGTCACCCCAAAACTGTAATGGAGGATACTGTTGAACAGTCCACAGTGCTGATAAATTCCTAAAAACTGCAACCTGTTTTCACCTAGATCTGCATTCCAGCCACCACACGATGGGCATGTGTTAGTACAGAGAGAGCAATTTCATTGTGCAATTTGTCTTGGCTGTGCTCAGTTTTCTACTTTTTTTTTTTTTTTCCCTAAAAATGGGAATGAAATAATAGCTTTTGATGACATCATAGCCAGAGCTAAGATTAACCCTGCTTCCCTGTGGGGTGTTGGTGAGATTTCTGCTCTATCAGCTTCAGGGACGTGGTATATTTGTACTGTCCTGGCAGCAGGCCAGTTTCTGTGATTGTTTTATTGGGTGTCCAGTGTTATTAAGCCCCTCTGTGTTTTTCCCCCTTTCACTTTTTCCTTCTGAACTGCATTTCTGCAACCAATTTGCATTACTCTATGTTAAATTTCACGTGCCATGTGTCAGCTGAATTACACATCAGATCTAAAGATTGGAAGTCCTTCGAATTCTTCTTGGTGGCTACGCTGTATTTGCTGTTCACTCACTTGTGTGTGATCAAGGAATTTAACAGGTTTTCAACAGTTTTCCTTCTCTGAGGACATCCATGCACAGTAGAGATTAAAAAAAAAACACCAAACCTGTAAAGATCCAGAAAGGGAACATTTAGGGATAACTGGCAGTGCGATTTATACCCTGCTGTATAACAATCCTCTTGTGTTCTGGCCTTTATGTGCGTTCAGCAATTGCATTATTCCGTTGATTTATGAGGACAAAAAAGTCCATTCTTTATGTCTGTGAAACGCAGAGCAGGGAGAAATCTTGATGTTGTCTCAGGAGAACCAGAGGGGCACTGAAATCTACAGATCATTAATAAATTATCATCATAATAATGTCAAGTTGTTACACACATTTCTCCATGAAATCCATGACGGGCTTGAGGTTGTAAAAATATGTATCTTTTCTTAAAGCCTTCAAATACTTTTACTGTGGTTCATGTTATAGTTTAGCCACACTGTTGCATTTCTACGGTTCAAGAAAAATAATATAATGATGTGGGCTGTATCCCATTCCCAGAAAGGAGGAATTTCTAAAGATTCAGCAATATCACAAAATCTGACATCTTACTTTTCATCGTTTCTCTTGATTCCTGCACAGCCCACCCATGCAGCTGCCCAATTTTTTGTCTGAGGTTCTTCTGAGCCGCTTTTTGCTAAGAGTAAAATAGATGTGTTGAGTCTGATTCCCATCTTTTTCTTTTCCATGGCTCTCTAAATCACGGATAGCAGAGAGAACCACGAAGGACTCGCTTCTGCTCTGCCATCCAGCTGAAGCCAGCAGAGCAAGGATGGTGCAAGGAGGGTGAGAGTCAGGCTCGCAGTCACGATAAATTTCCTTGGGCTGGTGGCAGTATGTTCAGAATGCTTTGAAGTGCTGCTTTGTCAGAGTTCACAACAGTTCATTTCAGCTCCAAATAAAATATTATCTGACTTTGCTGGCTTTCCAGCACCAGGCGGAGGAACAGTGGAGCTGTTCTAATTCATTTTACGAATCCTGTTTTCTTACACTGGTTTCTTTATTGGAACTCGTACAGAGCTTTCTTTAAACACAGCTTTGCACCGAAGAAAAACAAGGGAGTGTTTATATAAGACAATAGGGCAGACATCATTTACTGTATAGGGCTGATTTTGAGTTTATGCAACTAAGACAAAGGGAAATGAACACCCCCATGTGGTATAACCCCTGCAAGAGTGGAGCTTTGTTATTTTAAGCCTTGAAATGCCATACCTTTTAAAATCTGAGTTATTGAGGGATAGACTCTACAGCATGTACTTTGTTCCACAGAACACAGGCACAATAGTTTCCTTATGGTTTTTAATTTAGAATACATTCAAAGCAAGGCAACGTCCACCTCGTCTGGTGCAGTTTGCAACGTAGTGTAAATGTCGTTTATCCCAGTTCTGAGACTCAAAGAACTTTCAGCAGCTGATTTTTTTTAATTTATTTTTTTTTAGGGTCTAACAATGTCAGCACTAAGGATTAAAACAAGCCCAGTTGCTGAGCAGAATCCCCTAAACATTCAATCTTTAATTCTGATGTCTCTATCTCCTTTCCTTCTCACTGTCTGCTTTGTAAAATTCTGAGTGAAATAGTCCCTTGGGGCTTTGTCAAAGATTATGAAGCTGTGTGTTAGAAATGGTGAGGAAAATGAGGAATTTCAGGACTTATGCATGTGGTAGGATCCAATGGATTGCAACTTTTCCACTTTTGTCTTCTTACTCCATATCGGTTTAGGGTTAAGAAAGAATGTCCTAAGATAATTGATTGAAGCACAGGAAATGGTAAACTAATATGTTTATTAGTAAGATAAAAGGAAAGTCTCCCTTAATACATCAGTGGCTGCAAAATATATATTCCAAAGAATATATTTATTATATATGAGAGCTGACCACAATGCAGCCCCAGAGAACTGACCTCAGTACAACACTACTATGTCACCAGAGCAAATCCAAAGAAACATGAACATCATCTGCAAGATTAACAATTTATTTTCCATATTTCTATGGGGTTTGTAAGATCTAAGTTAAAAAAAAAAAAAAAGGAGTAAATTATAGGAAAAGAAATCTGAAAAGAGCTAATAAGCTAATATTTGGGAGGGGAAGGATAGCTACAGCTGTGAGATATAAAGATGATTTGGTTTTGATGTAGACCAGACTGTCTATCTCTGCCTTCTGAAGTCCATGTAATTACCCCAGAAAGAGGGATGAGGTGGGGAGAAGGCACTTTGTGTCTTATCTTATGGAGTCTTCTGAACCACTTCCCTTCCTTTTGGTCTGAAATCATCCATGTCCTCTGTCCTGCAGGTCATTTACATACTATCTTCAATGCCTTTCTGCACAGAGATTAGGTTATGTCTTTGTGGGTAGCTCCGGTCTGAGAGAGTTTGCCGGCCTTGTCTGAGTTCAGAACCAACTGCATAAATCATATTTGAATTAGCAATGCTGTGCCTACCCGTGGAAGTAGCAGGTTTTCTGATGTGACAGCTCTTAGAATCTGAACAGGTAAGTGGAAACCTGGAGAGGTCATCTGGTCCCAGAGCAGTCAGCTACTGCAAACCATCCTGACAGAGCTTTGCCTAAATTCTCGGGGTGGGGGGCAGGGGAAGTAGGGTGGAGATAAGAGCTATTTAATATTCTCTCCTGTTCAGGCTGGAGTCAGACTTCCCACACCACACTGTGTTCCTCATGCATGGATGTGACAGTCCTTGTTTGTGCTTCCCAGCGAGCTGTGCTGGATCTCACCTGTCCTTCGAGACCACCTCAGGTGGGAAAGGTGGAGAGGCACTGGCTGACTAACAGCAGTCAGGTGATGTAGCCCTCAGCCATCCTAGCAGATTACCAGTTAAAACTCTGTTTTGGTTAACAGGGATCATCTGGTTAAACTGGCGAGTACTGCCCTTCCCACAGGCAAGAGGTGCGTGTACAGCAGTGACAGTGAAGCAGTAACCCAGGTAACTGTGCGACAAACCCGGGCTTTATTGAGCTTTCTCACAATTTACAACTTAAATCTGAAGAAGAAATGTGTGTAGGGACTGCTTTACTATCAGGTCAACACAGCATCTCTCAGTGCTTCGACTGCTAATAGGATAGGAACTGAACTGTGTGCAGAGAGGGCTCATTTTCCCATTAATAATGTGGAGTTTTCTCAGGTTCTGCAAATCCATTTCACCAATCAGCCTCAGATGGACTGTTTATTACTAAGAATTTGCAGCCTCGAATGTGAAATGTATGGAAGCCACGCTTGCTTCCTACAGAACAGAAGAGTGATCCCTCCATTGTTCTCCTAAGGGTTGAATGCTCACACCTTACCTGTGTCAGCTGCCTCCCAACCAGCTACAGAAAGGGTATTTTTAGTGAGCTAGAGACTGAACATTTCATTTTGAGAACTTCAAACAAAGTATAAATCAAGATATTTTTGTGATAAAAGGGCTTGGCTGGGGGCTTCTATTGGCTTTTCCTTATGAAATACAACATGAGTGGTTTGGTTGTTTTGGCTTTTTTTTTAATGGGCACAAATGTTACTTTTCACTGGCTGTCAGAAACGGCCTCTTTCAGCTTCTTGTACAATTGACCATTGTGATAAGCCAGTGAGTTTGCCCTTTTTATCCCTTAGAATGAATAAACACTGGGATTTTGTTCATCTTTTAAATCCATCATATGGCATTTCCCAGAGGAGGTAAGCTTTGTATTTACTTGTGTGGCAGCTCTTTGAAATATGGCATTTTCAATCATTGCCTTTTTCCCAAAGAGGCATTTCCAACAAAGCAAGAGTTTGGCTTTATATGGAGGTTTCAAGGGCTAAAAAAAAAAAAAATCCCTAATGTGAAGATACACTATAAGTTTAATTAAATACAGGGCTACTACAAGATTAGATCAGTAACCTGTTTATATCAGCAATGCTTCCCAGAAAAAAGTTTTGACAACCAACTGCTGAAAATAGCTTCAGAAAACCCCCAATGAAAACCAGCAGTAAAAAAAAAATCCCCAAGACTAATTCACACAGAAGTAAAGAAGGAGTAGCTGAAGACCCCATCTCAGCTTAGGTTAATGCTGGCCTCTTTTTGGAATAATTTCTTTTGATGGTCTAAGGGAGCTGTCTTGATGTTTCATGCACATATTTTATATCTCTTTAGAGCTACCACAGAGACTTGAGCGTGAAATGCTTTTTCAGTTTGTGACAAACCCTGGATGAGGACTGTCCAAAGAATAAGAGATTTCAAAGGGACACAAATACAGTACTCCCATCTGTGACAGGTATTTCTTTGGTAAAGTCTTAAAGAAGTTGAAACAAGTCAAAAAGAGGAAGGAGCTGCCACAAAAAAGAAATACTTCATCAGGAGCTACCAAGCTGGTATTAGATCCAGAGGTGCTGTCCTGATGTTTATAAGGGTTATTTGACCAATAACTATTAAAAAATACAAAGTTTTAGGAAGTGTTTCCATCTTTGCATTCTGTGGAGTGGAGATTCAATTGCTTAACATAAATTCTGCCCTTTGAGATCCCACTTGAAGCCAGAGTGTCCCAAAGATCCTTGTCTGCCAGAGGTCTCATATCTTATTTACCATTCCCATGAAACTGTCTCAGATCCTCTGGAACATCTTAAATGGAACAGGGTGTTTGAGCTTCCAAAATCCGAAGTAGGCACAGACTGTAAGCTGACAAAGTCTTCTGCATTATTGGTACCATCAGTGCCTGAGTCATGCATTTGCCATTGATTAAGTTAGTCTTAATTTGGTGTTTTAATGCACTGGCATGAGAACTTAATCAGCCATCGCTTGAGCAAATAAATATGATAACTATTGGGACAGAAGAAAGAATTCAACCTAGGCCAGTGCATTTCTAGTTCAAATATTATCTGTATTTAACCTTTCTCTGCATAGGTTAGAATCTCATATTATTCTCTCAAGACTTTTATTCTTGTTTTCCTAAATAATTATCTGGACTACCTGACTTTGTGCTTGGCTATCAAAGTTGCTGAGTTAGGAACACTGAGGGAAGGTTAATGTGCTATCCTGCTGTTGATTATGCCAGAATGGGTTAAGCCTGTGAAATATAAATATCCAGGGTGCCAAAGCAAATATTTCGATTCCCTTGAACTCGTTAGCCAAGGTTTATTTTAGATGTGATGGGATGCAAGCTATTACTTGGAAGAGATGGATAGATTAGGGTGGATGGAATTCGTGCATACAGCAGGTCAGTATCTATTGGAACTTAATATTTCCTTACTGAAAGCTCAAAAATGGCTTCATTTATGAATACATTCTTAGATACAAATATTTTATTTGATATTTCATCACTTACAGGTAGATTTTATTTCTTCTTTCAGTCCTTTCTGAGTTTCTATCTTGAGGAGAAATAAGGTAAATCTATTAACTGGCTCATATTTCATGCAAAAAGGGGAATGACAGCAATAATTCATCAGGAGCAGCATACAGGAGAGTGAACACCATGTAGGATGACATGTAGCTTGTGGAGCTTAAAGTTAAAACACGAGCAGCACATCAGAATCCAAAGAAATACCTGGTGTGTTTTTGTTTCTTTCCAAACTGCAAGTCTGACGGTGAACAGTGAGCTGCCATCCAGCCTCAATCAAACTGCCAGAGCTTTGAGGTAATAACAGCAGGAAATTCTCCAAAGATAAGTTCAAGATGGTAGCTACAGCTGGGCTTCTCTGAACTGATTACAGCTGTAATTATATGGTGGAGCATACTTACAGTGAAGCCAACACACTTAGCTTTTTGTTAAAAGTAGCAGAAGAAAAGCTCTTATCTCCCTTCACTTCCACGCCATACCCAATACATCCATTCTTCAGCTTGCTTTGTTTATGGCTTGCAAGGGACAAGGTTTATTTGAACTGGTTGTGTTTTGAGTTCACGTGGGTTCCTGCCTTCCACTGCAGAAATTACTCCACACGTTCTCGTGTCACTCTGCCTGGCTATCTTTTTTGTTGCCATGCCAGGGTTTATCACCACTCACTTCTGGACAGTGTTACTGGTGCAGTCACTTCCTCCCTGCCAAACACCCGTGACATTCTCCAGACTTCCCAGCATTTAGCAGAGCAAGTCAAGTGTCATTACCTGAAATGGCAAAAGAAAAAAAAAAAAAATTTGGGGAAAAAAAAGTTGAACCCGTTTGTAGAAGGAATTTTGGTAGATGCTGAACACCCTTTTGAAAGATTAAAGCAAGGAAAGGTAGTCCTTTTGGATAACTTAGCAGAATTTCAGCTTCACAATGCTCAGGTTTTTTAAAAAAAAAAACTCTTATGGAAGCAAGCTCCTCCTTTTCATCTTTTACTCCAAAAAATTGTATTTTAAGTGGAAATGAAAGCCAAGCTTACAAATGATGGTGGGGTGAAACCAGTGCTATGTCAGTGCCCAGTGCTGTGTCAGCAAAGAGTGTGGCATAGTGGAAATGGCCAGTTCTCAAACAACCACAATTCCCAAGTCATCTCTTCCTTTATGTAACACACAAAATGTATTTTATGATAGGAGCCACGTGGGAAGAGGTAGGAACTATAAAACCTTACAGCGAATGCCAAGGCAGACAGAAGTGTTTGTATATTTGTGCAATTGAAAATCTGGAAAAAAAACCCCACATTATTTGGGGGAAACCTGAGAAACAGCAAAACCAGTAGACCCTTTGTTGAAGATAAACATTTTTACCTCAATAAATTTCTTAGCAATTGCTTAAAAAATAGTGATGTTTATCTTCAGAAAACTACCACTGTGCTGCCAGCTACACCAGTCAGAGCAGCTTTCCAAGTATTACATCTTCTTGTTCACTTAGGCTTGACTCCATGCAAGAAAATAGTTCCCATTCCTCACAGCTGAAGGGAGAGTTTTGTAAATCAAAGCCTCCCAGTCCTCCATGATAATGAATCAAGCCCAACCAATGCACTGGCACAGAGGGTTCCCACTGTTGTTTTTTATATTGGAGGGAAGATCAACATCTGAGGGTGTTTGTTGGGTAGAGTGACCTTGTGGCAGAGCCACCTCAACCAGAATCCTACATGAAGGTAGATAACTATCCTATAATCTTCACACTTTTCCCCAAGATGGATTGAAATGGACTTCCCATCCACAGGTACATTCAGAGAGGAATGTTTTTCTAATGAGGCTTTTTTAGGGTGGATGCTTGCTTTCTCCTGGGTTAGGACTGGAAAACCCACCCTGAGAACAGAAAAAGCCTCATAAAGGAAGTTCAGTGAAAACCAATCTTCTTCATGAAAACATTCCATCTGACCAAACCTGTATCTTGTAGATGTTTTTTTCAGCTCTGTTTTTGGAAAGCCCAGCAGTCCTCAGCAGCCCCCTGGGGAGGAGGGAGCTTGGTCTCTGAGCTTGCACAGACCAGGGAACCCAGCTCGGGAGGTCTTGGTTTGGCACCAAATCTGCACTAACAAAGAGTCTTTTAGGGGACCCAGGGGAGATATAGTGCTTTCAACTGCTCTGATCTCCAGCCAAAGGGGGCACTTTTGAATCTGTAGGCTCAGGGACCAGGCTTTTCAAAGGAAATCAAGAAATGTCTCCACGACAAGTTAGTGCTTACGGTGAAATGTCAGAGAAATGGAAATTCAGTGTTCATTGGACACTATATTTTATTCAGGTCCTGTGTAAAAGCCCTCAGCTTTAAAGAATAAAAAGAACTAAATTTATTGTTCCTCATTACACGGTAGCATCTGGGTTGGTGTGATTTACAATCAATTGTTGGGTTATTAATTTTTCCTTTTTTGTGTGTGTGTGTGAGTAAAACAGGATTTTAGCACCTTAAACTTACTGATTTAATTGAGATATTCAAGGGTCTAAAACCCCATAAAATGCCAGTGTTCCCAAGTAAATATAGATAATTATTTCTGAATATTTCCTATAAAATTGAGCAATGGGGCAATTGCTTTTGCTACCTTGCAACCTCAAGGTAACGTGACATAACATGACATCTTAGCAGCTTCAGC